GATCAGTTTCAGCAGCGGCTGACGCCAGTTCCGACTTACATACAGATTCAACTTAAGAACAAACCTACAGTCCCTATCTTGTACGTAACCCGGGGACTGCCTGTACTTAGAATGGGGACTAGCATTGGTGAAAAGGTAAAATAAAATGTTTTATCTGCTCCTGTATTGTATTCACCAGCCCAAACATTTGGGATAGAGATTCTAGAAGGCTAAATCCAATTCCTTGCTGCTAGCCCCATTACCCAAGTTTGATGAAGCAGAGTTTTGCGGAATGTAGGTTTGCTCTGCAGTTGTTGCAGCACCAGACACACTGCACATGTCTAGACTACATTTTAATTTTGAAAGAAGATATGCAAATTTGGCTCAAATTTGCATATTTCCTTCCGTTTGCTTTTTCAAAAGAGTTTTTTTTTTTCGAAAAAGCAAGCAGTCTAGTCATGGTTCTTTTGAAAAAAAAACCACCCTTTTTCGAAAGAACCCATCTTCCTCAAAAAATGAGGTTTACAGTGTTGTTTCAAAAAAGGTTTTTTTTTAAAAGAACCGCTTCTAGACTGCTTGCTTTTTCAAAATAACGTCTTTCGAAAAAGCCATCGAAAGAAGATATGGAAATTTGTGCCAAATTTGCATATCTTCTTTTAGAAAGAAAAACGTAGGCTAGATGTGCTCACAGGTATCTCCTGTTTCTTGTGCCAGATCTGAGGAGGGTCAGTGGTCAGAGGGTCTGTGGAATGGATCCATTAGTCCAGAGATCTAATTTTTCCGCCTTCCCTCAAGCTGCAGTCATCCACCTTCAGTTGCAACTGCGCTGGGATATCCCTAGCACATGAGTAAAGTCCTCTCAAATTTAGTTCCCTCCACTATGCTGCATAAGTGCAGTGGCTCAGCAGCAATTTGGCCTGTTGTGACCCTCAAGGAAGAAGCAGGGCTTGCCCCAAAGTAAGCAATCTAATACCTTTCTTTCTAGACTGTATGTGGCTTTCATGTTTAATAAGAATGATGTATATAGATTGTAATATAAATTGCATTATACTTAAAATATAATCTACAATGTTCTCTTTAGGCCTGTCGGGATTTACATATAAAAATTCAATGTGAACAAAGTCCTCAGGACATGGTATTATTTACTGGTTGAAAAATAGTGTTTTACATAATGAATCAGGCTTAAAATATGTAGCTCAAGTGTTCCTTATTCTTATCAGAGAAGTTCTCAATGTGCCTTTCAAATTTTTTTACCTTCTCCAAAATGCCAAATGAAACATAATATATGATATACCTAACATTTTTTCTAAAACTGACTAAACTCTCATAGTACAAATAGAACACCAACTGACTTAAAAACATGGCTCTGCACACAGATATTTAGATTTTAAAAGCTGAAATCTGATTTATGTTTTAACATGTCTTTTAAACTTGTGATGACGTTTCCTGTAGTGACAAGTTATTCTGTGTACATTTAAATCTGTCTGCTGTTTTGATATGTCTTTGCTGTTTTAAAATACTCATTCATTATCTTTGAACTCCTATCTTATTCTGTGGCCACCTACGCCATCATATTCTGTACTGCCTCTTTCTTGTGCACGGCATGTTTGATATGTTGTTTAGATATTGTTCGTGTGGATGACACTGATGATTTGGGAGATCTTTTGTTTTACATCTAGCCCTTTCTGAAGGTGAGTATGTCCTGGCCATCAATGTAAATTGTATCTC